GGGGTGCACCTGTGAATGCCCTCAGAGCTTTTGCTCAGTCCCGCACCCACCGCCCCACGCCTCCCTGGACCTTTCTTCTTAAGCTGGGAGTCATTCCTGGAGATGGGATGACCTGGAGTCTTCACAAAGTCCCTGTGCTGAAATATCTAAATTCACCACATATCATCTTGCAATTAAAACCCAGGAATGTCTATCTCAGAACTGGCCACATTTTCCCTCCAACTATTTACAGGAAATTTAAAATTCACAATCACTTAGAATATAATTTGTTACTCAACACAGCATCTGTATGTGGCAGGAAGTTTGGAATACAGTAAATCATTAACAAGCAGTTAAAGCTCCACCTATTAAAATCATCCTGCCCAGCTTAAATACTCCTCTTTCATTTTGTCTTAAACAAAAATGTTTTCTTTTCCCCTTCCTCTGCATTCCTATAATTGCTATCTTTATTGAATGTTTATTAGTTGTTCTAAGATCATACAGCTAATAACTGGCAAATCCACAATATAGCTGTACTGGGTTGAAAAGCATCTCCCCAAAATTCACATCCAGTAGAATCTTCGAATGTTATCTTATTTGAAAATAGTGTCTTTACAGATATAATCAAATTAAGATGAAGTCATACTGAATTAGAGTGGGTCCTAAATCCAATGAATGGTGTCCTTATAAAAGGAAGGAAATTTGGACACGGAAACACAGGAAAGAAAGCCATGTAAAGATGGAGGCGGAGATTGGAATTATGCTGCCACAAGCCAAGGAATACCAATTACTGCCGGTAACCACCAGAAGCTAAAAGAGGCAAGGAAAGATTCTTCAGAAAGAGTATGGCCCTGCCCGTTTTGAACTTCCAGCTTCCAGAACTATGAGAGAATAAATAAGCATCTGTTGTTTTAAGTCACTAAGTTTGTGGTAATTTGTATGGCAGCCCTAGGAAACTAATGCACTAATTTAGGTCTGTCAGATGCCGAACATTCTCCTTCTTAACATTCTGATATGCCATCTTATGTTTGTAGCACCTAAACTGTATCCTTCACAGCGCATTCATCAGATGCCTTGTATTTCACAGTAGGAGGCAAATGGTGCACCTAGAAGTTGAGGTGGGAATGGAGATTGTGTTAAGGGATGGGGAAGAAGTGGAATTTATTGTAAGGTAGACAACAGGCAAGACAGTCTTCTTAACAATACTCCCAACCTTCATTATAGTATGACCCTGTGATTTTGCAGAAAAGGGGAAATGAGTTTGCTAATGAGAAAAATATGATGCATTAGAAAGCAAGAAGGATTGGGAACTGCGAGGCCTGCCACAAGCCAGCTCTGTGATTAGGTACATGGCATTCAGATGTGGCTGCTTTGACCCAGGCAATTTGTCTTGGGAATATTGAGACATAGTCTGAAAAGCAAAATATTAAACTTTCAGCTATGAAAAATCCCCCAAATCCTCACTCATTCCCACCCAACCCTGAACCTCACTCTGTAACTTCCACTTCTGATATAGGGCAGACACTTAGCTTTTTGGTTGGCTAAATGAATAAGTGAGTGAATATTGAAGATGGAAATAGGTTGGAGGTATCAGAAATGAAATGATGGTCAAGGACAGGGAAAGAGTCAGATGTATAATAAGGGGCATGAAAGAAGGCTCAAGAATCAAGGATGTCTGCTACTAATGTTTGGTAATCAAAAGCCATAACAGAAGCAAATGTAGCAATATATCAATATTTGTTAAATCTTGATAGTAAGCATAGTGTGTTTGTAATCTTATTCTTTAAAATTTGGGAGTTTCAAATGTTTTCATTTCAAAAAAAAAGAACAGTACAAAAGCAACCTCAAAATGGCCAGATCAAAATGGGTGCATCGAATTGACAGCACTCAAATCACTTGCTTTGATGGGTTCTGAATCCTCTCCTTCATGTGCAGAGCTGACATGAGTGATTAAAACAGTTCATTCTCACACACGGATAGACCAATACAATTCTTTTGGAGAGAACCTGTGGAAATATATATATAAAGCCATAAAATATTCATTTCCTCGGGCTTTGTACTCCTGCTCCTGGAAATTTATGAAAAGGAAAAAGGGTGGGAATATGTAGATAAAAAAATTTGACCAATTTTTTTATAGCAATGAAAACTTGGGGACAATTTAAGCTGACGGTGTGGAGTGCTCACTACTGCTCCCACCCTCGTCATGCCACCCTTGGCTCTGCCTGGAAGGCTCTGGTAGCCTACAGCTGATCTCTCTGCTTCTCCCGTTACCTCTACAGTCTACTCTCTAACCAGCAGCCAGTGATCTTTTCGAAATGATATCAAATCACTTCTCTTCTGAATGTTCTCACCACCCTCCCTGCTACCACCCTTGTCTGAACCACCGCACCTGGGGCCTGGATTACAGCAAAAGCTACCTACTGGTCTCTCCTCCTCACCTTTCCAGAACAACAGTGAAAGTGCTCCTTTCAAATCATAAATCAGATCATGTCACTCCTCTGCTCAGAACCCTCCAGTGGCTTCCCGTCTGACTCAGAGTAAACCCATATGACTCAGAGCAAAGTCAAAGCAAACTTTTACAGTGGGACATAGGAGTACATCTCCTTCCCAGTCCCCCTGGAGCCTTTTCGTTGGCTGGTCCCTCTCCTCATAAGCTCTTTCTCCATACATCTACAGAGCTCACTTCCTTCAGGCAGTAAGTCAAATCCCTCTTCTCAGTAAGGTCTTCAGTGACCACCCTATTTCACCCTATTTTACAATTTTACCACTCCTTACAACCTCATTCTACATCTTCTAATATACTAAATAACTTACATAAAAATTTTCAAATGTCTACCTCCCCCGCCCCAAACAAACATACCCTAGAATATAAGTTCCATGAGGAAAGAGATTTTTATCTTTTCTTCACAGCTGTTACCCCAACACCTAGAACAGTATCTGACACATAGTTGACATTCAACAAATAATTGTTAAATGAAAGAAGGAATGGTTAAGTAAACCAGGTTATACCGAGATGATGGAAAATGAATCAGAAAAAGATTGTACTTGTGCTGTGTATCAATGTGGGAAACGACATATGACACATTGCTGATGTAAAAAGCAGAATCCCTGCGTTGTGATCAATACTACCTTGGTGTGGCTTTGACTGTACTTGTGCTGTGTATCAATGTGGGAAACGACATATGACATATTGCTGATGTAAAAAGCAGAATCCCTGCGTTGTGATCAATACTACCTTGGTGTGGCTTTGACAACACTGTTCTTCTCTGGTTCATTTGCTTTCCCTCCCCTTAAATGTTGAGATTCTCAAGTTTGTCCTTGGTCCTCTTGTAATTTTTATCTACCCTTGTAGCTTCAAAAACCATCTATTTTATTTCTAGTTTATTTAGCATGTTGTTCAAGCAACTGACTTGGGCCTAGGGCTCTCTCTGGAGCTTCTCATATGTTGCTTTACCGTTCTCGGAATAGACGCCTGTTCATCAGTCTCCTCTAATAAAATGGAGAACTTTTACAGCATAAGATGTCTAGAATATATTGGTAAGGACTCAATAAATATCTGAGTAATAAAAGATTTTAATAGAGTGCGTACTATGTGCCAAGTACCTCTGAGAACTTTACATACACTCCCACCATCTCTATGAGGTAAGCATATCTCCATTACACAGATTAATAAATGAGGAAAAAATACGTTTATAATGAACACTAACCAAAAGGTATGTAAACGTTAAATTAGGTGTTAAAGTGGTGGGATTGTAGGTGGTTTTTCTCTTTCAAAAATTTCTATAATACTGTAGTTAAGATGATAGTGTGTGTACATGAGCGTGTTTGTGTGTGACCAGATAATTTAAAAATTCAGTGGGCAAACAAAACAACAGGAAATTGTAGGGCAGGGCCTGGGAAAAGCGGAGGAACCCGAACCGACTGACCAGCCGAGACCGGACTCCACCAAAGTGAGCAGTCCGCGCAGTCCGGGAGTGACAGCTGGCCGAGCAGCGACGGGCCCCACGCACGGAAACGACTCCTTAAAGGCAGGCCAACCCGCTTCCACATGCAAACGCCCTGCGGAGGCGTGGCTCGAGGTGACGCCCGCTGTGGCGGAGCCACTCTGGAAAGGCTCAGGCCGGGGGGCGGGGACAGAAGGGGCCCGCGGGCTGGCACCGATTGGCTGCCGCAGAGATGGGGCGGGCTCTGTTGGTAGCCCCGCCTCTCTGAGAGGCGGTGCCTCCGCCTGAGCCTCAGGGGAGGGAAGGAACTGGACTCAGCTCGTAGGTCCGCGTCGTAACGCGTGGGTCTGCTGCGCCGGCGGCCCCAGAGGCGGAGCCGGAAGTGCTTCGGTTTGACCCCCGAACCCCTCTGTTTTCGAAGGAGCGGCCGTGGTCCTCCCGACCTGCTCCGCCTCCCTTTCTTCGCTCTCACCAGGAGGCCGAAGACCCGGAAGAAGTGCCATCTCCCGCCTCCGCCATGGAGCCCACCGCGCTGTCCCTCACAGAGGAGGACCTAACTGAAGTGAAGAAGGACGTGAGTAGCACAGCCTTGCCCAGGCGCTCCCGAGGGCTGGGGGCGGGCCGGGGCGGGCAGCAGCCCTGCGGGAGAGGAAAGCGGAAACCCGGAGTTCGAGAACGAGGGGGAGCCTCCGGGTCGGAGGAGCGGAAGGTCCGGGCACGGGAAGACCGCAGCGAGCCCTGCCTCCGAGGGATATTGGTAGACGTGATGCCCCACGTCGTGGTGTCGTGTTAACCCACGTTTTAAATCGCTGAACTCAGGGCTTGGGTGTTTGAAGCCTTGTCCAGCGGAGCGTTTCTTCGCAGTTAGCTTCTTGCTCACTCCTCATCCGCTCCTGACTTCCCCTTCTCTGCGCTCTTCGAGCTACTTTGTTAAGGATCGGCGGCTCGGGTTCATCCTTGAGTCAGGCTGGAACTGGACTCAGCTCGTAGGTCCGCGTCGTAACGCGTGGGTCTGCTGCGCCGGCGGCCCCAGAGGCGGAGCCGGAAGTGCTTCGGTTTGACCCCCGAACCCCTCTGTTTTCGAAGGAGCGGCCGTGGTCCTCCCGACCTGCTCCGCCTCCCTTTCTTCGCTCTCACCAGGAGGCCGAAGACCCGGAAGAAGTGCCATCTCCCGCCTCCGCCATGGAGCCCACCGCGCTGTCCCTCACAGAGGAGGACCTAACTGAAGTGAAGAAGGACGTGAGTAGCACAGCCTTGCCCAGGCGCTCCCGAGGGCTGGGGGCGGGCCGGGGCGGGCAGCAGCCCTGCGGGAGAGGAAAGCGGAAACCCGGAGTTCGAGAACGAGGGGGAGCCTCCGGGTCGGAGGAGCGGAAGGTCCGGGCACGGGAAGACCGCAGCGAGCCCTGCCTCCGAGGGATATTGGTAGACGTGATGCCCCACGTCGTGGTGTCGTGTTAACCCACGTTTTAAATCGCTGAACTCAGGGCTTGGGTGTTTGAAGCCTTGTCCAGCGGAGCGTTTCTTCGCAGTTAGCTTCTTGCTCACTCCTCATCCGCTCCTGACTTCCCCTTCTCTGCGCTCTTCGAGCTACTTTGTTAAGGATCGGCGGCTCGGGTTCATCCTTGAGTCAGGCTGCTGTCTCAGCCCAGAGCAAAAGCTGGACCAGACAAAGGATCCTAAGCAGCGGAGCAAATATGTGAAACTGTTTTGCAAAGGGGCTGGGGGAAGCTCAACACACAACCTGGAATTCCCCTAGTAAGCAAACGCCCACATATTTAAATGGGAGGGGGAGGTGAATACATGTAGCTGAGAATTAATGTACAGGTAAACGTTTAAAATATTCAGTAGCTAACTCATGCTCTTCTGCTTGGATGATGCACAAACCATTTTAATACGAATATTTATGTGTAAAGTATGGCATTTTTAAGGTACAACTTGTTTCTTTCCCTTTGATTTTAGTTAGTCGTTTTGCCTGACCTGTATGAGTACCACTAAAATACTTTATATGAATTCAAATTAAAAACAGAAACTCAAAGTGTGCTTTTACTTAACACTGCAGTACTTTTACAAAATCATCTTTATGAACTGGACAGGACAGAAACTTTTAAATGTCTATCTATTTCAAATCCCTTCTTCTTCCCTCTCCTGTAGGGTTCATTATACTTCACTCATGATGACAATCAGTCTGACTCACTAGCATGAGGAAACGGGATATGACTGGGACTTGTGCCTTAGTTTCCTCATTCAGCAGAGATTTATGGAGCACTTACAGTATGGAAAGTACTGTCCTTGGGCCTGGAAGGATGCAAAAAAAAATGAAGGCCAAGCCCCTGCTTTATTTTCTAGTGAGATAAGACTGGGACATTGATAACTACTATAGAATAAATAAACGTTGTTTTATTCTAGAAAAGTGCCAGTAAAACCATGAACTTCAAGAGCTAGGTCTACTGTGTTCCAGATGCTGTGTCACACAATTTACAATGTTCCTACTTAATCTCTACATCCCCTAAAGGAGATAATTGCCATTCCCATTTTACAGCTGATAAAATAGGACCTGAGAGGTTGTAAGTGTGGGGAAATAAGACCTGTATACAAATACAGATATGAAGAGTGGCTTCCAGGCCTTTATTTTTCTCTGTCGGCTCATCAGTGTTATCTATCTCCATGATTTTAATTTACATCTGTGTCAGAAATTCATAATCTTGAGGAAGCCATGGATGGGTTTCAGGAGGTCTATGAAAAACTGTGCATTTTTTTTCTTGGGGATTTTTTTCATGATATTTTCAAAATAGTTTATGACCTTAGAAAGTGTGAAAATTATCATCCACATATTTAGACCTCCTTTACTCTCAACTGTAGGCTCTTCCAGATATCTACTAGAAGTCTACTGTTATATCAGGCAAATTTCTCACCTTGTCAAAAATTGAACTTTTTATTTTCCCTCCCCCAAAACCAGTGAGGAGATTCTTGGAATTTACCTTCTGTATTTGGTCCTGATAAGTGGTATACCACCACTACTTCTTCCTCCTCTTTATCCCCATCTAGTTGTTTACTTCATCTTTTTAGTTGAGTTTATTTCATTTTAATAAATATGGATTACATGCTACTGTGAGGCTGATCCTGTAGTTGTTTTTAACAGTTCAAAATTAAAAACTAAGACACAATCGTAGTTTGAAAAGAGCTCAATTTCTTGGGGGAAGGGAGACAGACATAAAATGATAATTTTAAATCATAAAATAAATGCAATGATTTTTTCATTCATCCAAAACACTATCTGCTTGCCACTCTGCTAAGTGCAGAGTATGTAGTGTTAAACAAAACATACCTGATGTTTCCCTGCTTCAAACATAGAGTGGTTCCCTCCCCCCTCCCCCCAAAGTGTAGTAGGGACTTATTGAAGAATTATGTTATGTTTTTTAAAGATCTCCCTGCCTATTCTGTGGACTGAGGAGAACAAGGGTAAGAGCAGGGAAACCAGTGAGGAGACTCTTGGAATTTGTATAGATGAAAGATGATGATGATTTGGATCAGGGTGAAGGCAGTGGAGATGGATGGAGCAGGAGAATTCCAGATGCATTTTTGAAGTAGAAATGATAGGACTTGATGATGTATTGAATGTGGGAGCAGAGGAAGAACAGGGAATCAGATTAGTAAGTGGAAATGTCAAATTAGAAATTACATGTACCAAGTCTGAAGATCAGAAGAAAGATATGAGCTAGAAATGTAAGTGTGACATTGAATGAGTTCACCTGGGAAGTTAAGAGCTAGAAAAGAAAAGGGTTTTAAAACCCTTTAAAGAGAAGAGTTGTAAAAAATGAGAAGTTACAGCCACAGAAATTGGAAGAAAATCAGGAGACTATGGTATGAAAAGTATCAAACTTGGCAATAAGGAGATCATTAGTGACTTTGACAACAGTAGTGGGGCAGAATGGAAACATCTAGGAATGAAATGGGAAATGAGTTGAAAGAAGTGGAGTCTTTGTATATAGAAATGTGAGATGTATACACAGGGTGCACCAGGACAGAGAAGAGGGGTGCCTAACTCATTCTGGGTAATTTAGGTAAAGCTTTCCAAAGGAGATAACCACTGACCTGAATCTTAAAGGATGACTAGGGGCTTAGAGTATGAGAAAAGAAAACAAGACAAAAGTAATAACAAAGAAGTGTAGAATGACAGCTGTTTTAGGTAGAGCATAAAGTTCTAGGACAGAAGTAGTGATACATTAAACTAGAGAGGTAGACAGGAGCCATATTATCAAGAACCTTGTCTGCTATAATCAAATAGGTTTTATTTATTGAGCACTTACTATGTATCAAAGACTGTGCCAAAGCCTTCATATACGCTCTCCCATTTAGTCCTTCTAGATGTCCTGTGAGTTAAATATTTATCATTATTTTATCAGTAAGGAACTTGGAGCTTAGGATGATTAAGTAACTTGCCCCACCTATCACAGGAATATGTTCCAGATTCAAGATTTGAATTTAGGTTGGTTTAGCTCTAGAGCTATGTTCTTCTCTACTATTCTGCCATGGTTGCAAAACTTTATCCTGCAAGTCAGGAACAGAACGCAGTGTTTCACATTTTTAAAAAATTAACTAGAAAAACCCAGGAATGGATGGCTTTACTGCTGAATTCTACCAAACCTTTAAAGAAGAGTTAATACCAATTCTCTTCAAACTATTCCAGAAAAACAGACCATTCTCCCAAACTCATTCTATGAGGCCAGCATCACCCTGATACCAAAACCAGACAAAGAAACAACAAAAGAAAACTACAGGCCAGTATCTTTGATGAACATAGATTCAAAAATCTTCAAAAAAATATTAGCAAACAAAATACAGCAACACATAAAGAAATTATATGCCCAGGAATGCAAGAATGGTTCAATATATATAAGTCAGTAAGTATGATACAACATATCAACAAAATCAAAGGCAAAAACGATATGATTATCTCAATAGATGCAGAAAAAAGCATTTGACAAAATTCAACATCCCTTCATGATAAAGACTCTAAGCAAATTAGATATAGAAGGAAAGTATCTCAAAACAATAAAAGCCATATGTGATAAACCCACCACCAATATCATCCTGAATGATATTGATCAGGAACAAGATAATAATGCCCACTTTCACCACTCTTATTTCACATAGTATTGGAAGTACTAGCCAGAGCAATTAGGCAAGAGAGTGAAATAAAGAGCATCCAGATTGGAAAACACAAAGTCATACTGTCCTTATTTGCAGATGACATGATCCTATATATACAAAAGACACCACAAAAAAACTCTTAGAGCTGATGAATGATTTCAGTAAAATTACAGGATATAAAACATGCAAAAATTAGTAGTTTTTATACTCCAATAATGAACTGGCAGAAAAAGAAATCAAGAAAGCAAGCACATTTACAATAATCAGCAAATAAATAAGTAAAAGACCTAGGAATAATTTAACTGAGAAGATGAAAGATCTCTACAATGAGAACTACAAATCACTGCTGAAAGAAATTAAAGAGGACACAAAAAGATGAAAAGTTATTCCATGCTCTTGGATTAGAAGAATTAACATTGTGAAAATGTCCATACTACCCAAAGCAATCTACAGATTCAGTGCAATCCCCATCACAATACTAGTGACATTCTTGACAGAAATAGAAATAACAATCCTAACATTCATATGGAACAACAAAAGACCCCAAATAGCCAAAGCAGTCCTGAGCAAAAAAAATAAAGCCGGACACATTACACTACATGACTTCAAATTATACTACAAAGCTATAGTAACCAAAACAGCATAGTACTGGCAAAAAATCAGACACTCAGACCAACGGAACAGAATAGGGAACCCAGAAATTAACCCACATACTTAACAGACAATTGTTCAACAAAGGCACCAACAACATACATTGGGGGAAAGACTGCCTCTTCAATAAATTGTGCTGGGAAAACTGGACATCCATATGTAGAAGAATGAAACTAGACCCATACCTCTCACTGTATACCAAAATCAACTCAAAATGGATTGAAGACTTAGATATAAGACCTGAAACTATAAAACTCCTCAAAGAAAACGGGAAACACTTCAGTAAGTAAGACTGCGCAAAGACTTTATGAAAAGACACCCAAAGTACAAGCAACAAAAGAAAAAATAAACATGGGATTATATCAAACTAAGAAGCTTCTGCACAGCAAAAGAAGCAGCAGTGAAAAGACAACCTACAGGATGATGTGAGAAAATATTTGGAAACTATGCATAGGACAATGGATTAATATCCAGAATATACAAGGAATTCAAACAACAGTAAAAAAAAACAAACACCCCAGTTATAAAATGGGCAAAGGAGCTGAATAGGCATTTCTGAAAGGAAGATATACAAATGGCCAACAGACATGAGAAAGTGCTCAGCATCACTAAGCATCAGGGAATTGCAAATCAAAACCATATTGAGTTATTATCTCACCCTGTTAGACTGACTGTTGTCAAAAAGAATTACAAATGCTGGCAAAAACATGGAGAAAGGGGAACCCTCCTATACGATTGTGGAACTGTAAATTCGTGCAGCCATTATGGAAAACAGTATAGAGTTTCTTCAGACAACTACAGATAGAACTGGCATACTATCCAGCAATTCCAGTGCTTGGTACATACCCAAATGGGTGGAAATCATCGTGTTGAAGGGATACCTGCATACCCATGTTTATCACAGCTCTATTTGCAATAGCCAAGAGTTGAACCAACATAAATGTCCATCAATGGACAACTAGATAAGGAAAATGTGGTATATGTACAAAACAGAATACTACTCTCCCATAAGAAGGAATGAAATTCTGACATTTGCAGCAACATGGATGAACAAAGAATCATGTTCAGTGAAATAAGCCAGGTACAGAAAGAGAAATACTGCATGTCCTCATAAGTGGGAGCTAAAAAAATTTAAAAAGAAAGATACAACAATCACAATAGTTGTTGAACTCTCAAAAAGAGAGAAGAGGCCACCAGAGGTGGGAAGGGGTAGGAGGAGGGTTAGTGAGAAATTGGTAAAGGGCCACAAAAAGTGATTACATTGTGTAATGTTGAATATACTGGTTTCCTGATTTGAGCATCACGTATTCCACACAGGTATTGATATTCAACACCGTACCCCACAGATATGTACAATCAATTATGTTTTGATAAAAATATTAATATTTTAATATTAGAATTCATATAACACTCCAGATTTCCATTTTCTCTTGAAAAATTGGAAGATCTGATAGATATATGAAGGAGAAATTTGAGGAGGAGGGAAGTAGAAGTATAAGTTTCTGTTATTAATAGTCTGTGCAAGGTATGATAAGGACTGAACTCAGGCAATGCCAGTAATAGAGATATAGTGAACGGACAGATTAGATGTATACAAGGGGTAGTAGATTGGCAGTACTTGGTGGGTGGATGATCAGATCTGGCAAGTGAGTTAAAGAGAGGAAGAGTCAAGGACGATGACTTCTAGGTTTATAGCATGATAGTATGGATAGTGGTACTTTGAAATGAGTTGACACATTAAAGGAAAAGGATAGGGGAAGATAAACTTGGTTCAGAGCCTGTTGACAACAGGTTTCTCAAGGAATTCATCTTTCAAATCTGGTCTCTCTCCCACAGCTTAAATTCATGCACTCAGTATGTCTTATGTAACATAATTGCAGCAGTCTTTTACTGGTCTCCTTTGACCCCAATTTTGGCTTCCCCCAGTTCTCTGCAAAGGTTTTCTTATTGCCTCTTATTTTTAAACCTTTGATGACTCTTCCTTTTGGCTATAGGGAAATGTATGTTCCTCAGTATGTTATAGAAAGTCTTCCATAATCTAACCCTAGTTTTCCTTCCCAACTTCATTTCTCACCACCCTCACATGTATACTGTGTTCCAACCCCAGACTTCTCAGTAGTTTCCCCATTGTGCACCTTCATGCCTCTAGCCCAACAATAGCCTCTGTAAATTTCCCAGGTCCCGAAGATAGAGTTAGTTGCTCACTCTGTGCTTCCCCAGTACTTGTCCTATAATCTTTCTTTTCTGGGCTGTATCATACTGTCTTATAATTATTGGTTTGTGTGTGATATGTATTCCCCGACCAGACCATGAGCCCTTTGCATACAGGATTCAAATCTTGTTTATCTTTGTATATTCAGTGTTTAGCACTTGGCATATTAGGAATTTAGGTATATAAAATGTTTATCGCATGAATAAATGAATGAATGTGGGAGTTTAGTGGACTGAGAATTACAGGAACCTCTACTTGGCCTACTTTTCTGCCACCATATACTAGGATACTTCTAAGATCTTCCATTGCCTTTAATTCACCATTATAAATGTGGTTCAATTTAATTATCAGTGTCATCATCCCTAATGTGTATTGATCACTTATTATGTACCAGGCACTTTTCTAAACACTTTGTGTATATTAATTTGTTTTCATTACAATCAGAGGAGGAAATAGGCACAGAGGAGTTAAGTAACTTACCCAAGATCATATATCTGGTAAATAGAGGAGCTAAAATACAATCACTGGCATCCAATTATTAATGCCATTTATTGATACCAGCATGGATTTTCTGCTAACTAAGCCCCCTTAGGCACTTCTCAAGTCTCTATTCCTTGAGATTTCTCTCCTTTCACACCCTTCCATCTCCCGTCCACCAAGAATGACTCATTGAGTTAGAGTACAGTCTTTCCAACTGACCCCAAAGACAGTTACATTTTAGTTTAGATGTTTTGTTTTGTTTTCTATGGTTTTTGCTCTAGGGAGATGGAATAATTAATAGCAAACATGAGAAAGTTATAAACTGTGAGACCTCTGAGTTATCTTCCCTGGTACTGACTAGTTCTGAATGCCTTGCTAAATGGTAACTAAACTGTACAGTAGTTTTTGCTCTTATCTTTACCTCTGAAGTTGTCCTTGAGCAGACCTCCCTGTAACCAAGGACTCTAGATTCACTGGCTCCTGCTCACAATAGACTGGTCTTGGTTTTTAGGTATGAAAGTGAGTTCAGAGGATGGCAGAAACTGTGAGGAGTGTCTCATCTGGGATCTATGAGTATCTAGTTGGACCTTCATCTTAGAATGCGTTTTAGAGGGCCTGAGCCTCCTGTCTTCAGAACATTGTCTTCTTAGTTACCAGTTAAGATTCCTAATTAGTAATCAGTCACCTATGTGATATCCTTAGGTGTTACAAAATAACATTCAAGCATATTTTATTTTATGTCTTTTAGGCTTTAGAAAATTTACGTGTATACCTATGTGAGAAAATCATAGCTGAGAGACATTTTGATCATCTACGTGCCAAAAAAATACTCAGTAGAGAAGACACTGAAGAAATTTCTTGCCGAACATCAAGTAGAAAAAGGGCTGGAAAATTGTTAGACTACTTACAAGAAAACCCAAAAGGACTAGACACCCTTGTTGAATCTATTCGGCGAGAAAAAACACAGAACTTCTTGATACAGAAGATTACAGATGAAGTGCTGAAACTTAGAAATATAAAACTAGAACATCTGAAAGGTAAAATATCTTAGGTATCTACTAGTTAATTTAAATGTAAAAATGGTTTTAAAAGTAAAATGCAAAGCAAAACGAAAAATCTAAAAATGATCATATTGCTTTCAAAAAGTTTAAGCTTTAGAATTATATTTGATTTGCTTTTTTTTTTAACCTTACATGATGTCATTACATTGCAAAAGTGGAATATAATTTAATATCCTATATTTGTATTCATATAACAATACCATTTATAGAAAACTTACTATAACGAAAGCCCAGTATACATACTTAAGCGTTTGTTTCTAAAGTCAGCAGAATGTAAAATTAATCTAATTAAAAGGAACATCTGAAAATAACATCATGCATAAAGAACAATTTATAGGCAAAGTATTTTAATAGGTCCAACTCTGCTAGCTTTTCTCCTGATCACAAGATGAAGTAGCTGGCATGTTTGTAGGAATCATGTATAAAATATACACTACGTTAAACACTAGAATCACACTCAGTTTGGCAAGATATAAGAGGTGTGGGAGCTGAGATTGATTGAAGGAATAGCAAATTCACCTTTCCCATTTCGTTTCACCCTTACCCCAGAACACACACTCCCTGATTGGAATGCTGTGCAGAATTACCTGCACAATTTAAATCCCCAACTCCCTCTGTTTCTCTCTTGAGAGAGAGAGAGAGAGAGAGAGCACATAAGTTAAATGTGCATGTGATTTAGCTCTACTCTAGCTGTTCTGTGCACTGAGGATACAGAAATGAGTAATTTAGGGCTCTGCCCTTGAAGAACTCATATAAGTCCTTGCTGGGACACACTGGAAGTTTCCCCTCTTGAGCCATATACAAGAAAATAGTTTCTATAGCATGGGACAGAAATGCTGAATGTATTTTGAAGTTGAAAAACTAGTGGTAAAAGTGACCCATAAGTATACTTTATAGACTTTACAAGTTTTTCCTAAAATTTGTCAACTCAGGAGTTTCTTTGCCAGTAGACAGTTAAGTTGAATATTTGCTAAGGCTAACAGAAGGATAAATCGCACTTGTGTTTGCTTCAGTCCTGAGGCTAATTGTTGGCTATATCCTTTGGCTATGATAAAATTATTTGATGGGAACAACCACTGTCACTTAAGTAGACTATAAGATTGAGAACCATGACATTGTCTATTTGTGGTTCTCACTTTCCCATGAAGTAGTGGTGGAATGTTGGACATGACTTAACTGTTCTGTGCCTCTCTTTTCTCATCTCTAATAGTGAGAGACTATCCCAGATGACTTCTAAAATCCTTTCCATTTCTAACATCCTATGCAAGAATCAGTAATAGGCATTGATCAACTCATAGAATTTTAGCATATGCCCTATTTCAATTTGTTTTTATTGACTATATTTTTGTGCGTGCCAGAATGCTAAAGAATATTTATGAGATGTGAAAGCTATTTCTTATTCTATAAAAAAAATTTAGGGCTGTGTTATTTTTTCCAGGTCCTTCAGTGGTTAAGTATATAAGTATACATTAAATGTGAATTATAGCATATTATTTACATTTCTTTAAACTATTTCCTTAACTACAAAATATAAATGATAGCATGCTTTGTGATTGTTGAGAATAGCAAATGAGATTTGGAAAGGATGATGACAGAATTTATAAATTGCTATTTAAATTTTGGTTGTGTGGTAACTAGCTTGTAATCTTAAAAAGTTACAAGATGGTCATGAACTCAATTTTTTTGTTACTTTTTTATTTACATCTGAATAATTTTATTGTAGGACTGAAATGTAGCGGCTGTGAGCCTTTTCCAGATGGAGCCTCAAACAACCTCTCTAGATCAAATTCAGATGAGAGTAATTTCTCTGAAAAACTGAGAGCATCCACTGTCATATACCATCCAGAAGGAGAATCCAGCACGGCCCCCTTTTTTTCTACTGATTCTTCTCTGAATTTGCCTGTTCTAGAAGTAGGCAGAACTGAAAATACCATCTTCTCTTCAACTACGCTTCCTAGACCTGGAGACCCTGGGGCTCCTCCTTTGCCACCAGAGCTGCAGTTAGAAGAAGGAACTTGTGGAAACTCTAGTGAGATGTTTCTTCCCTTAAGATCACGTGCTCTTTCACGGCAATGACTATTTTACTGCCTTTGAATTTTTTTAATCATGACAAATATTTTAAAGGATATGAGTCTTTGTATAAAACTCCTATAATGATTTATTTACATTTGATAACATGTTTTAAAATGCAATGTAAGCATACTTTGTAAATAGAATTTTTTAGAATAAAAGAAGCATACTTTTAGGATAGCTAAATGTAAATCATGTTGATCATGTACTTTTCAGTATTTTCTATTTTTTCATTTTTTTAGGTGTTTTAATGTTTTCAAATTTTTTATGTTCTTAGACTAATTTTAATAGGGAACATTTCTCTATTTGAGAATAGACTTTTAGGCTGGGAGTAATGTTTCTTAGTGCATTTGTGCTAGAAATTTCCTGAGTCTAATAGTCCTTTTCAACCATTCAGCAGTAAATTTTCAGCATTAAGCTGTTCCTATTTGTGAGTAAAGCCAATCACTGATGGTAGAACTGCCATCCCTTTCCCACTTGGTCTTACAGGGCCTCCTTCTGTTGCTGGAGGAACACCTGATGGAGTTTGAGCCACCTAAGACTTCTGTTTGCCAAAATTCATTTCTTATTAATCTTACAAATTAATATTACTTTCTTAGGATTTTCACATTCTTTGCTTTTTCATTTTCATTCCAAAAGAAAAGTATCTTGGCATAAACCCCAGTTAATACATGTAATATGATGAGATTTAAAAAAACACTTTCTCTGTACTTTTTGTTCTCCTTTAATGAGGACCACCATACAGTTGAAATAACTAGCACAGATTGGGTTTTTTGTGTGTGTGTGTGTGTGTGTGTGTGTGTGTGTGTGTGTGTGTGTGTGTGTGTCAATTCTGTTTTAAGTACAGTTTGGGAAAGTGTGCCATTAGCCAGATTTGTCTTTTTATTGTATAACAAAATTTGACTAATTTTATGTATTTTTAAATCTTATGCTATCATTGTTTTCATTTAAATTATAATTCTTCCTGTTTCCTGACATCTGTCTCCTATATATTTCTATTATTAATTGCAAAAAAGCAGAGATGGAAATTTGCTATTAGCAATAAAAGTTTTTAAAATGTAGTGTTATGTTTTGGAATTTCAAAATTTTCAATAGGAAATATCTAAAACACTTTTTTTATATGTACCAACTTTTATAGAAAACATTACTTCAAGTTGTGAGGTAAAGTTTAATTTCTGGATAGACTGACGAGTTTATCAATCATGAAGAATATTGGCATATAGGTGTTAAAATTTCTAAGACTATGATTTTTGTAGTATAAGCACTTTCTAAGGATTATGGAGAAACATGTTTCATCTCCAGCACATAGCATAAGAAAATAGTGGCATTATATTTAAAGACATCACTTTGAAAAGCAGTAACAGACTTTTCATTTCATTAATTAACATGAAATTTGGGCTGGTCAGTTAGCTCAATTGGTTAGAGCATGGTGCTGATGCTGAGAACACCAAGGTCCAGGGTTTGAATCCTGTACCGGCAAGCTGCCTGTATACACACACACACACACACACACACACACACGCACGGGTACCTTTTTTAAAATTTGAAATAGGATTTACTCAGAATCAAAGATCATAATTTAAATATACAATATCACCTTCTTTAAAATTTGAAATAGGATTTACTCAGAATCAAAGATCATAATTTAAATATACAATATCACCTATATTTATAGGTTAGTTTTAACACTGTGTTTTCATTCAGACTGTTGGCTAACTATATGGACAATAAATTTAAGGTTTTAATAAACTTAGGCTTTTGGGGTTTTGAATCCTATAATTTTTTTTTCCTTTAAACTCTGAAAACTAGCCATTGCCAAAAATGCATATTTTTGACAGACTGACATGATAGGATGCAATGTGTTATAGGTTAATGCAGCAGTGAAAAAGTTATTTTCTGAAGTACCGTATTATCTCAATACAAAACACCTTTGAACTCACTTATTGCTTTTTTAAAAATTAATATTTTTTGGAGCAGTTTTAAGGTTCACAGAAAAATTGAGCAAGAAGTACAGAGTTTCCAAATCCCCCCTCTTCCCCAGTTTCCTCACATCTTGCATTGGTGTAGTACATTTGTTAACAATAGATGAGCCAGTCTTGATACATTATTGTTAACCGAACTGCATAGTTTACATTAGGATTCACTCTGTGTACAGTTCTAGGGGTTTTGACAAGTGCATAATGTCATGTATCCAACAGTACAGTGTCATACAAAGTAGTTTCACTGCCCTAAAAGTCTCCTGTGCTCCACCTATTCATTTCTCTTTTCTTCTCACTCCCCTCCCAGCCCTGGCAACCACTGATCTTTTTTATTGTCTCTACAGTTTTGTCTTTTCCAGAAAGTTATATTGTTGGAATCACACAGTATGTAGCCTTTTCAGACTGGCTTCTTCCGGTTAGCAATATGCATTTATGATTCCTCCAGGTCTTTTCATGATGAGTTCACTTTTGAAGGTGTAATTTATCTCTGGTAAGCATATCACTCTTGGTGGAAGGCCAAACACTGGAAAAACAGAGGTAGGCCAGAATAATGGCAGTTTGGTTATTTTAAATCTTTTTGAGTTTAATTTTTTTTTTTTGGTATATATTTTATTTGAGTATTGATATATATTTTCACACAGATTTGTTGTATTTTGGTATTTTATTAAACAGCAGTTTATAGATAGGATCACAGATGTAAAAAATCAAATTGTTCTTAAAAATTTCAATTGATTTTCTGCTTATAGGATAGTACTCCTGTTTCTACTTCAAAATCTTAGCAAACAGATTCCATTTATTTCATTCTATAAGTTAGAATGAAATATAGTCTATTTGGTTTCAGTCTTGGATTTTGGCCAGATTTGCTTCCTCATTTGGTTGATTTGATTCTGTTGGTCAAATAACCTGCAGCTAATGATAAGTGGAGGTGTTATATGCATTAAGTCTGTGGTGCTGGCTCAGTATAATAAATTGAGCTCCACTGTATACATTACAGCATGTATGGTGTATGGGGCTGGCTCAGTAAAGCACATTTAAGCTCTGCTATGTGTATTAAGGGTTTATGGCACTGGCCCAATACAGCATATTGAGCTTGGTTTTCACTCATTGTTGGAGTAAATGTGCATTTATCAGTAACTGGAATAACTTTTCATCAGTTACGGATTAAATCTAACAACTAATTCATATAATGATTTAGTTTTGAGCTCCACTCTCATTGAGTGCCTTTCTTTGTATTTATGTCCTCTCTAATTCTCCTGTTTGGGGTTTATTGTTTATTTGTTTTGATAAGCAATTTTTTATTTTAAGTCCAATTTATCAATTTTTTTATGGCTAGTGATTTTTATCTTCTGTGTAAGAAACTTTTGCCATCCCAACATCATGATGTTATTCTCCTGTGTTTTCTTCTTGAAGTTTAGTTGTTTAGTTTCCCATTTAGATCTATGATTCATTTCAAAGTAATTTTTGTGTATGGTATGAGGTAGAAGTCAAGTGTTACAGCTACCATCTTTTTACCTAAGCAATGTAAAAGGGAGGAGGAAGTTTTAGGCTCTAGTCTCATCTTGTATCATTGGATAAATTGTATACTGTTGACTCTAGAAAAAAAAGCATACCAAGAAGCAAATTGATCTATACTTGTTAAATGTAATCTTATGGGGGCTTTCTGAAAGGAGAGCTGAATTTAAGCTGCTTCTCAAATCCTCAGCCTGAATTTGCCATACTATTTAATTATCAGAAATTGTCCTTTATTACAGTGGTTCTCAAACTTTGCTGCCCGTTTTAGAATCAGCTAGGGAGCTTTTAAATATCCTAGTCACCCATCTATACCCCATACCAGTGAAAAAAGTGTTTCAAGAACTAGGACTGTCTTGTTGAAAGCTCAAGTAAGAAGTGGTCCTTGAACCTGGTCACATACAGGCTGTTGGTGGCTTTGATAACAAGGATTTATGTTGCTCAAACTAGGTACCCCAACCCCAGAAGCACTCAACAGTGGGCCGGTTTTTAAAGTCACAGTATAAATGTGGCTATTCTCTTAGAGTGCCAGTTTTACTCAATGATAAGTAATTTTAAATATTGTCTATTAAAATAAAAAGCTATATTAGGAACAACTATGCAAAATTTGCATACATTTTCAAGATATTCAAAAAATTTTTATGCCCGAGGGGCTTTGGGCCACACTGTATCAGATCAGTTTCTCCAGGAAACAGAGGTCAGCCACATGGGCAACCATGTCTATGTTGCCAAGCCCAATAAAAACTCTGTATACCAAAGCTCAAGTGAGATTCTCTGGTTGGCAATGCTCCATGCATATTATTCACATATTATTTTAGTCTGTTTTGTGTTGCTATAACAGAGTTCCACAGATTGGATAATTTATAAAGAACTGAGATTTATTTCTTAACATTTGAGAGGCTGGGAAGTCTAAGAGCATGGCACTGGTGTTTGGCAGAAGGCAGAAGGGCAAGAGAGTGTGAGAGCAGGAGGGAGCCAAATTTGCTTTTATGACAAGCCTACTCTCATGATAAGTAACCTACTCTAGCAATAATGACATTAATCCATCCATGAGGGAAGAGGATTCATGGCCTAATCAACCTCTTAAATCCCATTTCCCAACAGTGTTACATTGGGGATTAAGTTTCCAACACATGCGCTTTGGGGGACACATTCAAACCATAGCTGACATTTCTGCCAGGAGAAGTTAGTACTCTATGACTCAACTGGGAGAGGACAACTGCAAGCTCTGAATGTGGAACTCTCCTGTACTCTGCCCCATATGCCTCTTGCCTTGGCTGATTTTTTTTCTGTACCTTTTTGCTGTAATAAATTGTAACTGTGAGTATAACATCTTTCAGTGAGTTCTGTGAGTCCTTCCAGCAAATTATCAAATCTGAGTGTGGTTTTAGGGACCCCTGAATTTGCAGTTGGTATCAGAAGTGTGAATGATTTGGGGAGCTCCCAAAACTGCACTTTGGGATCCTCATTTTCCTCTATCAATATAGGTACTTGGATGGGAAAATTTGAGAAACACTTATCTAAACCCACACCCTCATAAATTATTATATTCCAACAATATTTATTGATCATCTACTCTGACAGGGCACTGAGCTGGGTACTAGGAATATAAAAATGAACAAAGCACAGTCCAGTTCCTCCCCACAAAGAGCTAATACACATTATCCTATCGGACTTGGTTGGGAAAGAGGAGTGAACAAAACAGGCACATCTCTGCCCCTGGAGCCTACCTCCACGGAGGAATGGCAAGTTATAAATGAGTGTATCATCTGAATGAGCAGGTATCCTTAAGTGGGCTCTAAACATTTGCACTGATACCAACTTCATTTGGGTATCATTCTCTTAGCTCATCAGAGGAGTTAAAGATTTCTAGTTTCCTTGATGATTAGGCACATGGTTTTATCATTTATTAGGACAGGGAACAAAAGTGCAGAGACGAGTTATACAAAAAGACAAGTACTGTTCCTGTAAGGGGGTGTTTGAGGCCCCAGGAGAATGTCCATATGGAAAGTTTAAGAGCCAGGAGGTCAGGTCTAGAGGTTGGTGGGAAAAATTGGGGTTGGAGATCTGTTGCTTTGCCTCCTGTTGATTTGTCACCCCTTCTCCCCTGGGTGACAGAGCCTCCAAAGATTACTCAAACCCCATCTCTTCTGAGCAGTGAGAAGCCTCAAAAAGGGGTTAATCTCCCCAAACCCTCAAGAGCGAGGCATTCCTTCCATTTGGGAAATTAACCATGAATTGGGGTTCTCTTCCTGCATTTATCTTCCAGCCCAGGAAGTTACAGGAAGAAACATAGGTGAAGTTATCGTTTTAACAAGCTTTAACAATAGAAGCTGGTAACATTCAGTAAAAACAAGCCAGATGACATTCTATAAGGCAATTAAGTGATCCACCAACAAAAGCTTGATCTTAGCAAAACATTCCTTCTCCCTACACAGCTTCCCAGTATCTTTACATATCAATCAGTAACTTGTCTGTCTGTGAACCAGTAGCCTTGCTGTGTTACAACTCTTTATCTTACAACAGAGACTAAATAGCCTTGGGAAATTTTCCTGTTTTTTGTAAGGTCAATATTTGAAACTGCAAGGCTTTGGAAAACCAGGCCCTGTGAAGTACATTTGCTTTATGCATACTCTACATCGATCCAGATCTGGGAGTCACAGCATAAGGTAGTTAATGATGTGGAAAAGGATGGGCTGACTTGCAACTTTGACACACCCTCCACAAAATGTTAATAAGTATTGCTGAAAGATGGCATAATATGTTGGGAAACACCAACATTTAAGGGCCATATAGAACAAAGCAGGCATTGAAAGAGGCTGACAATGAGAAGGCAGAGAGTTTGAGGCCCCCTGGAGTGGTGGGATGCGATCCTTGGGGGGCTACATCAAAGAGAGGCTGTTCAGAGTGCACTTGAATGAAGTCAAGCAGGAAATAATTCGGTTTTTGTATTGGGGAGTTTTCCACCCATACAGGTCTTCCATGATAACCGAGGGAAGCGCTCTGAGGGTAATTTTGCTTTGGAGGAGGAGATGCAGTGGGATCAGGAAGAAATACTGATCTCTCTGGGCAGGGACTAAAGTGAAATGACAGGAGAAAGGTGAAATTCTTAGCTCTTCTATGCCTTCAATAAATGCTTATCTAATGCTTAAAGTTAGACCGGGACCACTTGCTCGGGACCTCCTCTCTTCTCAGGGCTCCTCAGGTATGAACACGTACGTGCGGCCGGGCTCCGCCTCCAGCCTCACTCTCTCAGCCGAGGAGCAGGAACGCGGCGCAGCCTCCAGGGGGCGCAGACTGTGAGCCCCTCTGCAAGACGGGGCGGGGCGAATAGCGAGGCGGGCCCTGGAGCAGCTTCCGGCTTCCGGTAGAGTCCTCAGTCTTTGCGAGCAGCCGTCATGGCAGCCGAGGAGAAAGACCCTTTGAGCTATTTCGCGGCTTACGGGAGCAGCAGCTCGGGCTCCTCGGGCGAGGAGGATAACAGCGAGCCGGAGGAGACAAGTCGCAGGGTCTCGGATCCGGGGAAGTCGGCAGGCAGCTGTGGGAACAAGGCGGAGAAGCGGCTGCCGGGACCCGAGGAGCTGTTCCGGAGCGTGACTCGCCCGGCTTTTCTCTACAACCCGCTCAACAAGCAGATAGACTGGGAGAGGCACGTCGTCAAGGCGCCAGAGGAGGTGAGGTCCCCGACCCAGTTTCCCGGTGTTGGCCCGGGCCTCCGCCCCCTTCCTCTTGCGCCCCCTGCTGGGGACCGGCTGCCCGTTCCCCCACACGCAGTCACACCCCGCGGGATGTCGCAGCACCCCCTCCCACCTTTAGCCCTGGGCAGCCCGGGTCCCCTCCCCCAGCCTGGTGGGTGTGAGACCGGACCGTAGCCCCCGCCCCCTTGTGTCAGGAGACCCAAACCTCCTCGCTCGGTGCCCCGACCCTGCGCGGCGAGGACTAACGGTGGTGACTCCCCCGCCCCCCCCCACTGCAGCTTCTCCCCGAGACCCCTTCCCTTTGACGCCGAAGTGCCTGCGGTGCTGCCTCCGGGTTAATCTCCCCAAACCCTCAAGAGCGAGGCATTCCA